CGGGTCAGCATCAACTCAACAGCAACTGGTTGGTTTATTATGTGCCAGGCCTTGGGTTAAGCACTTTATATACACTATGACATTTAATTCTCATGTCGACCCTATGAGGTGAGTGGTATTATTAGAGGGTTAAGTAACTTGCCCAAAAGTCTCAACTAAGAGATCATTCTGTTTGTGCCTGACAGTATTTCTCCAACTCAGCTGTCTCTGTGCTAACGTGCACAACAGACACCACACCAAGGATAACACAATTCCTCCTCTCTCTTTGGTTCCAATTTTCTCTCTGGAGGAATTCCAGTATTTTGTGGGCCTAGGATTATGAGGGACCGTCATCAGGGGAAAAAAAAAAACGCAGCAACTCCAAGATTCCTCTCAAGGTCCTTTGCGTGGTCCTTTGTGTGTAAACTGACCAGCAATTTATACACTAGTCATCACCTGACCCCCACAACCCTTCTATGAGGTAGGAAATCATACTAGCTTGGATTTTTGTCTAAGGCCACACAGGCTCAGAGACTTTATGCTAACTTGCCCCCGATCACTAGAAGAAATGGAGCCACTGATTTTGAACCCAGGCCTTTCCAACTTCAAAGCCTGTGCTGTTTCTCATGGTAAGACCACAATATAGGTATGTGCATGATTTTTGTCCAAATCCTGGACTTAGGAGAGCTTCCTGCAGTTTTTTCCCATCAGCTTAGCACTGCATTACCGGGGAGAATCTCCCTTTTTTGCGAACTCTGAGACAGTACTCATATTTGTGAAATTCTAAGATTTAGAAGTTAAGAGGTACCCATTAGGAAATCTCAAACCTAATGCTTCTCTATTTTCTTTCCTGCCTTTTAAACAAGTTCCCTCTTTCAAAGTAAACATCTTCCCTAAACACCAACTCCCCATTCAGATTTCCGACGTTTTAAAACATACCAAGTATGAATTACTAATATTCTCTCTCTCACAGGCAGCACAGGGTCTCTCTGTCGTCCTGCTTAGGTTCTAATCATTACTAAATACGTCAATTCATTTCTTTATTCAACACTTAAAACCACTTTCTTTGTGCCAGGCCTATGCTGGGCCTACCCCTTGTCTGTATTTCTCATAAGACTTTAAGCCCCAAGAGGGCAAGAACCAAGCCTGTCCGGTCTACCACTATGCCCTATCCATCCCTCTATCCCTCCACCCCCACCTAGCATAAAGTGCTCAAAAACATTTTGTTAAATGAGTGAATGAACGAACGACAGCTGAAGCAACTCACTAGTGTAAAACCACAGAAGTCACCCACCCACCCTCCGTCTGAAGGTAGCAGAAACACTGCCGATGCCTTTGCTGAGTAGAGGAAGCTAGATACTCTATCAAGTCATTCCCAGGGTATCAAAGGGAGCGAGACAGATGCGTCTCGCAAATAGAGTGACGCGTATTTCCAGATCGGCATGGAGAGCCTGCCAAAGCGTCCGGTAAAGGTCAACTGGGCTGCCGGGAAATCTGCCCTTGTTCCAGGGCCCCGGAAGCTGCAATCCCAAATTCGAGAACTGCTAACAAGGGCAGAGGAGGCCTGAGCAGAGTGGGAGAGTAAATCCTGGCCGTCACCTGAGTCCCGGTCCGGGGACGGGGGCGCAGGTGCGATGAGCGTCCAAGTATCTGCCCTTCCTCCTCTTCTGGGTTCCCGGTCCCCTGCTCCTATTTCACCACATTCATGGCCTCGTCAGCCTCTGGCCTCACCCGGATGCCTGAGGCCAAGAGCTCCTGGATGCAAAGGGCCAACTGGGCCCCCAGATTCGGCACCGGAACCCCGGAAAGAGAAAGAGAAGTCAGGCCAGGGCCAGGGCGGACAGTCGCGATCACCCCTCCCCTAACTCAGAGGTCACGGCCTGGAGCCGTTACCATGGCAACAGACGGCCCCGGCAAGCCGCCTCTCCCGGCCAGGTAGCTACCACTGAGACCGCATGCTCACCTGTGCCCCAGCCCACCCTGCTCGGTCCGAGCCCGGCTCTCTGCCCGCTCTCCGGGAGCACGGACGTTGCGGTTCCCAACGGCCCGCAGGGCCTCACTCCCAGAACCCGCCCACTGGCCGCCGCTTCTCTCGGAGCGTAGGGATTGGCTGAGCTCCATCCAAAGGACGGGAAGAAGCTGGGCATCGGCAACAGAGCCCCGCTCCGCAAAGATGAAAACAGCGCTGTCTGGTGGCCAGGAGGTTTCCCAGGGATGTCGCCACGTGATTTTCGCGTGGAAAAAGTGAAAGGTCGTCCATTCATTTATGCAACTGACGTTTATTAGGTATCTTCTAAGAGCCAGGTATGAGCACATAAAAACAAAAGACAAGATCCCTGCCTCAAGAAACTCTCCTTGGTAGAGTCTATAATCTACTACTGAAAACCTCTTCAGATCTAGGCTACCTTTCCAGCTGTGTGACCTTGGAAAAACTATTAACTTGTCTGAGCCTCTTTATCCTCTTCCGTGTAATGGTAATAATGCCCATTTCACAGGGTTGTTGTGAGGGTTAGATGAGATGATGATATATGTAAAGTGCTGTGCCAGGCACATACTCTTGTTGTAGCTAGTGTTAGTCTGAAGTTCCTGGGTGGTGCAAGTGGTCTGCAATCAGCTGCTAACCTAAAAGCTGGCAGTTCAAACCTACCCAGCAGCACTGCAGAAGAAAGGCCTGGAGATCTGCTTCTACAAAGATTCCGAAAAACCAAACCCATTACCGTCAAGTTGATTTTGACTCATAGCGACCATACAGCAGAACTGCCCTATAGGGTTTCCAGGGCTGTAAATCTTTATGGAAACAGACTGCTACATCTTTCTCCTGAAGAGCAGCTGGTGGATTGGAACCACTGACCTTTTGGTTAGCAGCCAAGCACTTAACCAGGGCTCCTTTCTGTAAAGATTACAGCCAAGAGAACCCTATGGAGCTCAGTTTTACTCTGTAACACATGGGGTCGCCATTAGTCCAAAACAACTTGACAGCAGTGGGTTTGGTTTTCGGTTGAGTGTTAGCCTAGGAATCCCTGGGTGGTGCAAATGCTTAAGTGCTCGAGTACTAACCGAAGGATTGGAGGTTTGAGTCCATCCAGAAGCACCTCAGAAGAAATGCCTGGCAACCTACTTCCAAAAAAAATCAGCCATTGACAACCCTATAGAGCACAGTTCTACTCTAACACACACAGGGTCGCCATGAGTCAGAATCGATTCCATGGCAACTACTTTGGTATTGGTATTGTTAGTCTACAAGTAATTGAAATATAGTAGAGATTAAGTCTTAACCTGACCCCTCAGGTACAAGTATTAGCACACTTCTCTGTGCCCCCACTGTCCCCTGTACAGATGTCTATTTTATCACCTACAGAAAAAAATCCTCAAAGTCCAAGCTCCTTCCAAAATCAACAAAAGCCACTGCCATTGAATCGATTCTGACTCACAGCAAGTCCATAGGGTTTCCTAGCCTGTAAATCTCTACAGAAGCAGACTGCCACATCTTTCTCCCTTGGAGCCACTGGTGGTCTCGAACCACCAGCCTTTCAGTTGTCAGTTGATTGCTTTAACCACTACGCCACCAGGGCTCCTTCCAAGTTCCTTAGCACAGCTTAAACCAAAAAACAAAAACTTTACCATGAAGTCAATTCCAACTCATGGCGACCCCATGTGTTACAGAGTAGAACTGCTCCATCGAGTTTTCTTGGCTGTAATCTTTACAGAAGCAGATCACCAGGCCTTTCTTCCTTGGTGCCACTGTCAAATTTGAGATTAACAGCCAATCACAAACCACTTGCACACCCAGCCTCCTAGCATGGCTCACCAGTCCCTTAATGCCCCTACCTGGCCCTGTCTTTCCATTCTCATCCCACTAGTCTCAGCCTGGCATATTTATTTACCTCTATTAACACAGTACTAGACCCCTTGTGGAGCCTCATGGCACAGTGGTTAAGAGTTCAGCTGCTAACCAGAAAAAGGTCAGCAGTTTAAATCCACCAGCTGCTCCTTGGAAACACTATGGGGCAGTTCTACTCTGTCCTACAGGGTCACTATGAGTTGGAAATTGACTTGATGGCAACAGGTTTTTTTTTTTTTTGGACCCCCTTGTAAGGAGACCTGGTGGCACAGTGGTTAAAGCAATTGACTGCTAGCTGAAAGGTTGGCAGTTCAAAACCACTAGTGGCTCTGCAGGAGAAAGATGTGGCAGTCTGCTTCTGTAGAGATTTACAGCCTAGGGGGTCACTATAAGTTGGAATCAACTCAATGGCAGTGGGATTGGTTTGGCTTGGCTTAGACCCCTTGTATTTCCCCACCCAGACTAAGTTGTTTCACACCTCTTTGCCTTTACTTATGTTTTTTCATCTACTTGGAGTGCACTTCCCACTTCTTTACCAAAGTAGCTTTGGCTCATTTTTCAAGCTTAAGGATCACCTCCTGTAGGAAGCTTCTAAGGTTGCATTATCAGCTTAAATACCCTTCCTCTGTGATCTCAAAGAGCCCCGTGCTAACCTCTTGCAGTGGAGATGGAGAGAAACAGTGTCAAGAAATATTTAAGACACATCAAGGGGTTGGCAACCAATGTCACAAATCGATTTGTTTATTAATCATTTAATGAGAAACTAATTTCCTCTGTAAACTTTCATCTAAATCACAATAAAAAATACTCCTTAATAAGCAACTAATAAAATACTTCATCAGTGTTTTAAAAAAGAAATTTTTAAGAGATGGTTATTAGCAGAACTTGTTCACTAATCGAGTATGTCGAAGGAGAAGGAAACAATTGCCTAGAATGACTAGCATTCATTCAGTCTACCAACAATGGGGATATAAAAATGACTGGGACCATCCCTACTCTTGAGGAATTGTCTAACAGATGGAGGAAGCAGTTAGGTCTACAAAATGTCAATAGAGTGTGAGAAATGCAGGACAGAAGTATGCATGGGTAGGCCCAGCCCAGCCAAGAAGAATCAGGGAAGGCTCTCCAGAGGAAGCTACCCTTGAGCCGAGTCTTGAGTGACAGCTAGTAGTTCTATCAGGCAGAACTGAATGGGACTTGAGAGCACAGACTTAGGAACCAGATAGAACTGGGTTCAGATCCTCACTCTGCTGCCTGCTAACCTTAGAGACAGTATTTACCCTTTGTTTTTGTTTTTTTTTTAAAAAAACAAAAAGACAAGAAAAGTACTCACCCCCTAAAGTTGTTGTGGGTATTAAATTATCTAATGGGGATAAACTGCACTTGACACAGTAATTGGCACCTCCAAAAAGAAAATAAAAAATTTTAAAAAACCATTGCCATAGAGTGGATTCTGGTACCTCTTAAGTGCTCAGTAAACTGTTATTGATATGTTTAGTATTCTCCAAATTTGTTCCTCCTTCTGTAAAGTCCTACGTCCACTTATGGCATTACTCATTCACAAAGCCAAAAACGTGAGTGACATCTTCAAGACCTCCCCATCTTTGCATTGTTCTCCAGATGATCTTCAACTTATGGTACCTCTGTCTCCTAAATGCCTCTCAAATTCATTATCATCTCTTACCTGGACCATTTTAGCAGCTCCCTCAATGGTCTCCTTGCCTTTCCCCTACCATTCTGTTGGCAGAGGGGGTCTTTCAGAAACTTAAATAAAACCATGAACCAGCTTAACCCCCTTTCTGCAATGGTCCCCCTTCTGGCCAACATCTGGTCCATGCCCTCCATGCTTTTTGCCTGGCCTGCCTTTACCTCTTCCCACAATTCGCTACACACGTGCCCTTCTATGCCTCTGCCCAAGCAGGCCCCTTTGCCTGAAATGAATGTCTACTCTTCCTTGGCTGCAAAACTCTAATCCATCCTGCCAGACCCAATTCAAAAGGCCCAGCTTGCAGAAGGCTCTCCAGGACTCCCTGGCTATAAGAGGCTTCCTCCCTTGGTCTCCCCAGCCACTATGTGCCTTTGTACCTGGCTACAACCAGACTGAGAGCAACTCGGGCACAGGGGCTGGATCTAATCTTTCACTTACCTATGGGGCCCAGTGCAACTGCCCAGAATGCAACAGCCAAAGGAGACTCCCCCGCATCACACAGGGAGAGTGTAGGCATCATGTCCATAGCAGGATGATCACACAGTTGCAGGAGATGACCTGTTCCTCCATGCCCACTCCCATATACCTCACAATCCTGGGAAACCTGGCCAGCTTTGGACTCATAAAAAGCTGTCTAATGTAGAGGGTTAAACCTAGACTCAGTCACTTCCCAGCTTTGTGCTCTGGGGTAAGTTGTTTAACCTCTCCAAGCCTCAGTTTCCTCATCTGTAAAATGGGGGTGATAACAATACCTGCTCTGAGATTCATCTAGTTCAAACCTCACCTGTGTCCCGATTTTAGAGTTGAGAAAACTGAATCTCAGAGAGGTAAAGTGACCCAGCCAAGGCCTCACTTGTCAAGTCTACAAGAAGTGGGTATTAGCATTTCAGTGGAAACCTGTGGATGGTGATCCCATCTAGGTGTTCCCAAGCCAGGCACCCATTAGAATCACTTGGATACTTGTTAAAACTCATTTGAGGGCAGACAGTCTATTCACAAAGTCTTAGGTGGGGCCCAGGAATCCATATGGGATCAGCTTCAAGGTGATTAGCCCTTGGGAATTTGGATCACGTGCGAGTCCTCTCTACCTTTCAGTGGTCTCATGTGAGTTTGTGTGTTTGATCTCTTGCTTTTCAGAAGCAGTCCCCCAAACTAGCCTATAAAATATCTGTTCATGCCACTAGGCTGTTCAAAACCCTTCTGTGGCTCCCCACACCCCTCAGGTCCCAGTACCACACTTCTCAACATGACCCCAAAGCCCCTCATGATGAAGTCCCTGTACTCCCAACACCTTTTTCTCCTCCGGGACTTTGCACAGCTGTTCTGTGATCTGGAACATTCTTCCCAGCCCCAGCCCCAGCCCCCTTTCAGTGGCTAATTCCTAGTCATCTTCCTGGCACCCACCCTTGTATTTTAACTGCTTGTTTGTCTGCTTTTCTCATAAGACCGTAAGATACATAAGAGTAGAGACATATCACGTTCAGACATATGTTCTCCCTGGTGCCCAACAGTGCCACACAGT